CCGGATCCCGGCAGGGCTGCGGGAGCAGGCGGGCCGGCGGGAGGGGACGCGGACGCCTGGGGTGCCCTGGCTCTGGGCAGCCGGGCCGTGCGCCCGCCGGGCCCTGACCTCACGGAGCCCGAATCCTCTGTCCCAAGAGCACCAGTCCTGGCGCCTGACCGGGGGCGGTGACCGCTGCGAGGGGCAAGTGGAGGTGCACTTCCGCGGGGTGTGGAGCACCGTGTGCGACAGCGAGTGGTACGGGCCGGAGGCCGACGTGCTGTGCAGGGCCTTGGGCTGCGGACGGGCGGAGGACCGGCCCCCGGGGCAGCCGCACTCGCTGCCCGGCAAGATGTTCTACTCCTGCAAGGGCGAGGAGGCCACGCCCTCTCTCTGCGTCTGGCGGTTCAACAACTCCAACCTGTGCAGACAGTCGCGGGCGGCCAGGGTGCTCTGCTCAGGTACCCGCCCCGCCCCCAGGCTGGGACCCGAGGAGGAGGGACCGTGCCCTCCCCGTGCCCAGGGAGAGGCATGAGGCGTCTGGTGCGGAGGTCTGCTCAGCCCCGTGGGTCTGATTCTTAGTGGCATCGGCGTGTGCTTAGCAGGGAGGTGGAGCCCCTTCGCCTCCGCCGGGCTGGGGTCCCGGGAAAACTACAGCGAGGAGACCCGCAGGTGACACCAGCGCCCTGCCCCTGGGAGGGCAGTGCCAGCGCCGGAGCTTGGTGCCGCCTAGCCCTAGACCCACCTCGGGAACTGAGTCCGCCTCCCCACATCGGAGGCGGCTGGGTAGTGAACCAGGCGGTGCCCGAGGTCTGGAGAAAGGCAAGCTCTGCCAAAGCAACCCCGGGGGGCCACTTCAGAGGCGTGGGGTGTGGAGGCGAGGGTCACACTGAAAGAGCACAGCCTGTGTCCCGGTAGAGCTCCAGACCTGGGTCCGTGGCCCGGCTTTGCCGCTCACAGCGGGAGGCTTGGGACAGTCCCTTAGCGCTCAGTTTCCCAGCCCGTGTGGCTGGGAAATCAGCTCACATCTGCCAGGCCGGGGCAGGGATCGGCTGCCAAGCGCCCCATCGCTGAGGCCCGGGGCACACGCAGAGGTGCAGAGGAGGGACAGTCCTTCCCCTGGATCTGCCTCCTAGCCAGGGTGCCCCAGCCTGGAACCGTGAGCTCCTCCTGGTTCGGGGCCCAGGGGGGTTCTGAGCCACATGCCCTGGTTCTGCCCATCTGCCTGTCCTCCTGGGTTCCCGGCACTGGGCCTGGCACGGGGTGCTCGCGCAGTGCAAGTGAACGGGGCACTTCTCACAGGTTCCCAGGCACGGTACAACCTATCCTCGCCCCCGGGCACCCCCAGCGTTCAGCCGGTGACCGTAGGTGAGTGTTGCTTCCCTCGGAAGCCCGGGTGTGCGTGCGTGTGCATGTATGTGTGCGTGTGCGTGTGAGAGCATGTGCACGCCTGCGTGAAGGCGGACTGGTGGTTTGTTCCCGCCCTCTCCAGGCAATGGCTCTGCCCCAGGGCTCTCTGGGGCCTTGGACTCCCCCATGACTGCCAGGCCACAGCTCCCAGGGCTACCCTCCCCTCTGTCGGGGGGCTCCCCGGGCAGGCAGAACAGGCACAGGGCCCTTCCAGTGGGTGGGGGGTGCCTGGCAGCAGCCGCTGTGTCCCTAAGGTCTGGACACTGTTCTCTCCCAAGCCCCCCTCGGCAGCCACATGTCAAGGGCTTCTCGGCCGCAGACCCCAAGGCTGGGGCTTGGAGCACTGCACCCCACATCCATGGCTCTGCCCAGACTTGCTCGTGGCAGCTCCAGGGCTGAGGCCCCAGCCTGCGCGGTGCCCCTCGCTGAGCCTTGCAGGGAGTTACTTCAACAAAACACTGTTGGCCCCTCTCAGATACCCCGAGCGGCTGCAGGCTGCTGGGGGGGAACTGAGGGGTCCTGGGAACAGGGTGGGGGTGATAGGGTGAGCAGGACCGGAAGCCCCTGCGGCTCCTCCTGAGGCAGGGTAGGGACCAGGGACCTGGCCTGCCCCCACACGCTTCCGGCTGCTGGGTCGCCATGCCACCCCGGCCTGCACTCTGCAGACAGAGGGGAGAAGCAGAGGAGGAGGACAGAGCGGCCAGCCCTGCCCGGCGCGTCCCTGCCCTTCCTGGCCCGACTCCGCACACCGGGGCTCCTGCCTTTAATGAGCAGGTGGCCCTGTGTCTCTGTCACCTCTTCCCGAAGTCCTCAGCAGGGGTGAGGGGCAGGTAGCCACTCTGGACACAGCCCCCGGGGAGGGTGGAGAAAGCGAGGTGCCTCCGGGCCTCGGGCCCCCAGGTTCCAGTCCACTTGATGCCGTTCCCCCGGACAGAGCCCAGGACTGTGACACCGCTTCGCGTGGGCTTCCCAGGCCCAAGTGCCTGGCGCAGGGCGGTGCTCAGAGATTGTCCGCTGAACAGTGCTTAGTCACCTTGTCGCTGCGGGGACACGGTACCAACACCCGCAAAGCAAAGGACGAGGGGGCTGCTTCAGCGCCAGACTTTAAGGGATTCAGCTGGCTCCGGGCAGGAAGACACAGGACAGAGGCCTGGCGGAGGCGCGCTGCTCAGGGCATGGTGGAGGGGATGCCGCGAGGAAAGGCGCGGCGGGGAGGGGGACAGACACTCCCAGGCCACGCCCAGCAACCACCTCCTCCAAGCATCCCGCCTGCTGGGTCGGCCTAGAGACTCAGTCACCTTCCCGGAGCCGAACAGGAGGACTCAGGCCCTGGGGGACAAACAGAACAGAGCAGTACTGAAGGCCCGCAGGGAGGAAACCCCACTGCAGGAAATTCACTTAGTCGTTCACTCCTGTGATACCGTTTATTGAGCACCTGCTGTATACCCAGCATCCAAACGGAGCCGGGAAGAGAGGAAGGGAGAGGGGTCAGCTGCGGAGAGGGTGGGCGCAGGAAGCAGGGCGGAGAGGCGCTTCTGTCCGCTGCTTTTTCTCCCTGAATCGGTTCTCTTTCCAGAATCCTTGGTGACGGTGAAGACGGAGAAGGAGCCCGGGGCGCGGGTGCTGCTCGTGCTCAGCCTGGTCCTGGGCGTCCTGCTCCTCGGCGCGCTGGTGGCCCTCGCCGTCGTCCTCCTGAGAGTTAAGGGGAAATACGGTGGGTGCGAGCTGGGGCTCGGAGGGGCGTGGGGCGGGACGGCAGGCGCCTCGAGCAGTGGCAACCGCAGGCCCTGGCGCTGGCGGAGGGGAGGCTTTTCCCAGCGTGCCCGCGGGAGCACTGTGGGCTCCCGGGAGGGCCAGCCTGTGTGCGCGCGCTTGTGTGTGTGCATGTGTGTGCGTGTTGGAGGTGGGGTCTAGCTGAGGCCAAAACCCAGTAGGCCAGGAATGGGCAAACCCCGCCTTGTAGACGCCCTGCCTGCCTCCCCTCAGCCCTCCCTGCGACCGGGAACCACCAGCACCTCCTGCCTGCCATCCCAGCAGGGAGCAACAACTACCACGCGGTCCCCATCACCGTCCCCAAAGAGGAAGGTAGGACGTCCCCCGCCCCCGGGGGAGGAGGCAGGCGGACAGTGCAGACTCTCTGGAGGGCCAGCACGCCCGGGCACAGCGGCAGCCAGCTGCGGAGTGCTCCGTGGCCTTGGCAGGTCCTGTCCCTCTCCGGCTTGGCGGGGGGTGACCTTCCAGCCACCACTTCCTTCGGACCCTGGGCTTGTCCCCGGCCTGACACGTGGGCCAGAGGTGTTCGGGTCTCGGTTCTCAGAGGTGAGCTCTGTGGTGCCTTAGGCTGGTGGCCTGTGACGCTGTGTCCTGCCCGGTCTGCTCCCGTGGAGATTCCCTGGGACGCGATGTTACTTCATAAATTGGGGCAGACACCCACCCTTCGGAGTGTACAGACTCGGGCCTCTCGGAAGTCTGGTGGGGGCGCGCATGCAGTCACCTGTGCTGTGGGCAGATCTATCTGTGTGCGGTGACCCGAAGCCCTCCACAAGACCCAGCCAGGGTCAGCTGTTTGCTTGGTGCCCGCGTCCTCAGGAAGAGACGTGGACATGGCCTCCCGCGTGGGGCTGGCCCAGGGCAGCTGCCCTGAGTAACCCCCGGGCAGCCCGAGGTAGAGCTTCTCAGGGCAAGGCGAGACCCGCTCCATGCCTCGGTTTCCCCACCGTGAACTGAGGTGACCCGTCCCTGCTTCACACGCAGGCCCGCGGTGAGGTTAACGGGGTGTGTTCTGAGAACAGCGCCCGGGCGGGAGTGCTGCGTTGCTGGCTAAGAACACATGCGGCGGTGTTTCCGTGCTGAGGGCTGTGGTCGGACCAGCTGGCATCTGCCACGCTCTGCCCTCTGCGCCACACTCTGTGCCCCTCTGCTTGTGCTGCTCTGCCCACCGTGTTGCCCCGCTGCCCTCAGCTGCCCAGCGCTCTGTTCTCGCCCAGCTCCCCAGCTGCTGTCCCCAGGCCGGGCCCCGTCCCCCGAGGACTCGTCCTCCGACTCCGGCTCCGACTACGAGCACTACGACTTCAGCGCCCAGCCACCCGTGGCCCTGACCACCTTCTACAGTGAGTGCCCGGCACTGGGGAGGCCGCCTCGCCCCGCTCCCTGCCCGGACGGCGGCCCAGTGCTTCAGGACCCCAGGGCATCTCCGCTGGGACCCCATCTCTCTGTGTCTGTCTGTCTGCCGCCACGTGACCAGGCCTGGACACTTACCTGAGAGCACCGTCTCTGTCCCCCGCACCTCTGTCCCCACCTGGCCCCCATTGCCCCAGCCGGCACCTCCCACAGCTGCCCCTGGGGACCGGAGAGGGAGGCAGACAGGAATTCCCCGTGGCGAAGGCGGTGTGGGAGTTCTGTGGGCTGAGAGCTCAGAGGACAGGGTCCTAGAGGCTGGGGGGCCCGGCCCCTTCCTCCTGCTGCTCGGGAGGCCCTGAGGTGTCACTGTGGTGCACGTGGTCCAGGACGGCTCACCCAGGGCCCGCAGGAGCCAGTGTGGGACCAGACTGCCCTGCTCATCCCACACACACCCCACGCCCCAGTGCAGACCCGAGGGCGGAGGAGGCCTGCGGGGTGGCCGTGGGTCCAGCTGCTGTCAGCTGCCCTGCCCGTCTGCTGGCCTGGGGCATCTGTGTGGGACACAGAGGGCTGCATCGCTGCCGCCCCCTGCACTGCAGTTTGGGAGCCATGAGGACGTGGTGTGTGCAGCCCGGAGATTCTAGATGCTAGGAGTCGCGAGGTGTTGGGCGCACAGGTCAGCGTGCCCGCTCCACAGAGCCCACGCCAAGGCGCCAGACGCCAGGTCCCCAGGCTCTGTAGGTCTCTGGCCGGAGGCTGAGCCGTGACCGTGCAGACCCCTGGTGTCTGCTCTGGGGCTCTTAAGGGACGCACAGGAGGAAAGCCAGACTCATCTGTCTTGGGTGGCCCCGTGGGCTGGGTACCAGGAGTCTGACTGGAAGCAGTGTCCCTACTGTGCATGACACCTGGACCCGGTAGGGTGGGGTGCCCGCCCTACTCTCGCCTCTTTGTCTTGCAGATTCCCAGCGGCACCGGGTCTCGGAGGCAGAGGCCCAGCAGAGCCGGTTCCAGATGCCGCCCTTGGAGGAAGGTGAGGGGGTGCAAGAGAGGGTCGTGGGGGGCAGGGACGCCGGCCCCAATTGGCCCCGAGGCCCAGCTGTCCTGGAGCTGCCCGCCTGCCTCCCCACACAGCGTGCCCCCACAGGAAGTCCCTTCTGCAGCCTGACCCCGAGCCCTCTTGCTGGGCGGCTGCCTCGGGCCTCACCGGCTCTGTTCCTGGCCCAGGACTTGAGGAGCTGCATACTCCTCCCATGCCAGCCACCCTGCCAGGACCCTGTGCCTCAGACACCACCCCAGGGGACCTCAGGCATCATCAGGGTGGTGGCAGCGGGTCCAGCACATCTTCCGGGGAGGACTACTGTAACAGCCCCCGCAGCAAGCTGCCACCTTGGAGCCCCCACGCGTTTCCCCCGGAGCTGGCCCCGGGCCTGGAGCTGGCTGGGTCGCAGATGCCTTTCCCGGGTGGTGGTGAGTCCAGTATCCCCCGTCCTGATGTCCCTGGCTTGGAAAGAAATCCCAAGCTGGAGCGCTGCACCAGGCGCAGTCCCGGCCTCGCTGTGTGGCCTGGGCCTCGTGTGCTTGCTGGTCAGGCGGGCTGTGGCTCTCCTGGGTCCCTGGGGCTGTGGCACTGGTGGTCGTTGCCCTGACTGAGGGGACGAGCTGATCTGGGGTCCCCCGGCAGACGACAGCTCCAGCACCTCGTCCGGGGAGTGGTACCAGAACTTCCAGTCGCCGTCCCAGCCCCGGCCCACGGAGCAGTTTGAGTGTCCAGGTGCGGGCAGCGAGGGGCTGGAAGGGCAGAGGCGTTGGCGGGGAGTGTCCCTCGGTGGCGCTGTCAGCCCCAGGCTGGGTGAAGAGCAGGAGGGGGATGGGAGGGTGGAGGCTGTGGTGGGGGCGGGGGAGACCCGAGCAGGAGCAGGAGCAGCCGGCGGCCCCTGGGGAGGCTGTGGGCCTGGCACGGCTGCTCATCAGGTTCACTGCCTGTGCGGGTCCACGGCCTGCGCTGCCCGGTGAGCTCTGCCCGCAGCTCAGGCTGGCATAGAGGTGTCATGTGGCCTCTGGGGGGGCATGGATGGGGCCCCTGACCTGAGACTCCTGCCCGGGTCCCTCAGGCCAACAGCCGGACGACTCCTCCTCCGGGGATGACTACGACGACATCGGAGCAGCCTAGTGGGGTCTCCGCCGCGGCTGCCAGGAGGTCCCCCCACTACCCCCTGCTCCCGGCCCCCCAGATCACCCGAGTGGGGCTAAGGCCTCCCCAGGGACGACAGGACCCATGCTGTCCCTCAAAACAGGCAAGCGGCGTGGTGGTGCACGCCTGTGATCCTCAAACTGGGGAGGCAGAGGCAGGAGGATCGACACAAGTTCAAGGCCGATCTGAACGAGCTATCGAGACCCCATCTCAAACGAACAATCACACAGGCCAGGCGGGGGTCTCGGTGAGTTTATTGTGAAGCAGATACAGACTTCTGGCTTCTCTGGACGCCTTTCCGAGCCCTCGGAGGTGACCGGCACTCGGGCCCCCGGCGATTCTGATGCTCCTGCGCAGCTCGCTCAGAAGTCGCCGACAGCTGCAGACTGTCTTCCTGTCCCTTGAGCCAGTCAGTGTGTCCTTGGGGGCTCCCAGCGCCGGAGACACTCCAGGAGTTCCTCACTGCACCGCGGCCCGGCTGAGGCGGGAGGATCCGTGCGGAAATCTTTTCTGATGTCCCCAGGATGGGGCCCCGTGGCCAGGCGTGTAGCATGGCTGGGGGCTGTGCACCCTGTGTGGTCTTGTGCACCCTGTGTGGTCCTCAGCATGCAGCCTGGGGTGCTCCCCCTGCCCCCCGCCTGGCCTGGGACTCACACAGACGTCTGCTTCAGAACTCGCTCCCGTCCCCATGTCGTGAAAGACACTCAGCTGGGTGGCCAGGGCCCAGCCTGGACCTCTGCGGCAGCCGCCCGAGGGTGACACCACGCCTGTCCCGTCTGATGGTCTCCTGGGCGCCTGTGTGGAATCGGGGAGCACGGAGAGGCGGGGGCCCTGGCGGGCAGCGTGATCTGCAGCACAGGCCGTGCCTGGAGCGGCGCGTGGCACGGGGCCAGGGTGGGAGCACTCACGGGGTGCCGGGCAGCGCCGTCCCCGCGGGCCTTGCGCTCTGAACCTGCACACTGAGCTGGCTCGGCTCCAGTGAGTCCCCTTAAAGCACAGCCGGCGTGACGGGGTCACTGAGCCCCGAGTGGCCCCCGTGCTCTGCTCATCTGTCGGAGTCCTGGCCCGGGGCCGTGGGACCCCGCTTCCTGGGACCCCGCCTGGACACCCGGCCTGAACCACAATTCGTCGTCTTACTTCCAATAAACACTCTCCTAACTGCCTCCCTCCTGTGCACGATTTCATCCACCTGGGGAGGCGGGGAGCTCGGAGGCGCTGCTCGGGAGGGAGGGAGGGGGCGCTGCCCCGGAGCAGAGCCAGGTGGGCTCCTGCCCCGCAGGGCCAGCGGCTGCGGAAAACTCCCTACCTGGCCGCCCCATACACAGCTTCTTCAGGCGGAGGCCAGGACGGCAGAGACCCCACACCTTCCAGCAGCCCCTGCCCTGGCCTGGCCTCTGTGGAGCAGTGGGACCCCAGCTGGACAGGAGGAACCCCCACACCTCCCGCCCCAGTGCACCCCACCGCCAGTAGCCCCAGGGGCCTCTGAGGGTTGCTCCAGAGCACTGCTGACCACGGTGGGTTGTCCCCTTTGCTGGCAAGCACATTAACTGCGTCACGTGGGACTCTGCCGTGGTGCCGCAGAGGCTGTGCCCACAGAGGGGGGAGCCACCAGTGCCAGGGTGTGATGGGGAGGCTGTGACCAAGGAGGGGCCGCCTGAGCTGGCCGCTGAAGGGTGTGTAGGAGTTTGTGGGGTGGAGCCAGTGAATATGTTCCCGGTGGCGACATCCGCAGCGGTGGACAGTTCCCTGCATTGTGTGAGCAGGAGTGCTGGGTGGGGGAGAGCCCTGCGAGGGCAACATGGGCGCTGCAGCTTGCCCAGCGTTTGGTCATTGTCTCAGAGGCGCTGGGGTGTCAGGAGCGGCTTCTAAGACAAGGACTCTGGACTAGAGGACGGCCCTAGGAAGCCGTCTCCCGTGAGGGGAGGTGGTGTGGGGGAGCCCAGAGGGACACAGGCGTGGGAGGCGGGGTGAAACGGGGCCAGGCAGAGACGAGAAGGGCCGGGGTCTGGGCCCACAGGCGGGGAGCTGAGGCCCAGCACACAGGCTCCGGGCACCGTGCAGGTGACACCGAGGGTGGCAGAGCCTGTTCCTGCCACGTGTGCCAAGCTTGGCGTCCTGCAGGGCGACCACCGAGGCCTGGGTCATCACGGGCACACTGAGGCCGGCAAGGGCCGAGCTTTGCCCGGGGCTGAGGGGGCAGGGCTGGCCGTCACCTCATAGACTCCTGGGGGTGCGGGGTCCACGCGGGACGCTCCAGCCGGGCCCCACCCTCTGCGGTTCACCGCGTCCTCCCTGAGGGATGAGGGACCCGGCGGCCGCCCTGGACGACTCCCAGCAGGGAGCCCTTGGGGCAGCGTCCAGAGCCCCGGGTGGAAACTCGTCCCCCACCACATCCTCCAGCTGTGTACCAGCCGCCGGCATCCTGACATGAAACACAGCCGGTTCGCCCCCACAGGAGCGCGACAGGGTGCCAGGAAGACGCGACGCCTGGGAGGAGGAGGGCGCAGCCTCGAAGCCACCTGCCTCTGTCGGCCCCACCACCCCGGCCGCGAAGGGTCCCATGGTCCTCCCGGGGAAAGGCGGCTCCGGGTCATGGGGGTGCTCCAGGCCTCGGGCCAGGCGGGCTGACTCCGGGTCAAGGCCGGTGGGGGAAGGTGCCGGCGCTAGGCTGGCGGGAGGCCCTGGTGGGTCGCAGGAAGGCACACTTGCCACGGCCCCCGATGGCTCCATTCCAGGGCCACAAGCACCCCCGGCTCCGAGCAGTGGGCACTGACCTCCCTGGGGGTGACCTGCTCACACAGGGAGGGGCAGTCCTTGTCCTCGCCCCCACCCACGCATTGTCCCCGTGGCCACACGCTGTCCTCACAGAGACCTGGGTCACCATCGCCTTTACCACCCCTGCCCGGGCCTCTCAGCCCTCAGCCTGCACTGAGGGGTGGGCGCTAGGTAACAGGCCCACAGCCTCCGACCCCTGCACGGCCAGCAGGAAGTGCGGGTGGGGCATCCTGCGAGTGGGCTCTGTCCGCCGTGGCTACTCGGGAGAGCCCAGCCCCCAGGGCCCTCCGTCAGTCAAGCCAGTCACAGTGCCTTTTGTCTCTGGCACCTACCCCGGGCACCAGGTCACTCTGCCGATGCCCAGCCCCTGCCGCTGTGGGCAGCCCTGCAGTACGGGGGTCCTGGAGTCACCTCCGGGGTCCTTGCTGCTCTCCCTGCCACCCGCCGGGTTCCAGAGACCACCCTGGAGACCTCAGGGCACCATGCACCTGGCGGACAGTGAGTCCCTCCCACCCCCCGGGCCCAGCGCAGGGCCCAGCACCTGACTGCCCTGCCTGGGGTGGCCTTTGGGTCACCACCGTGGCCTCCATCCTTCAGCTGTGTCCCCACCCTGGCCTGGCCGCCCCCGTGGGACGAGGTCCCGGCCAAGCAGAGACCACTCAACAGACGCTCTCCACCCTGCTTCGTCCGTGGGCCGCTCATTCTGTTGGTCACTTGATAGTTTTTAAAATTGGACTCAATTTTTTAAATGTAAATTTATTTTCATTTTACGTAAAACGTCTGGTGTGTGCTTTTCAAAAACAGCAATGTCACAAAATACAGACTCCAGAGCTGTTTTGAGTTGAAGATACTGAGGAGCCCCTCGTCCTGCCCTCCCGCCCTCCCTCCTGCCCTCCCTGTCTCCTGGGACTCAGGACTGCACGATGACGCACAGCATTCCTCCCCTGCCCGAGATGACGAGACCCACAGAACCGTGTAGCAAGTGGGCAGCAGGTGCCAGCCTGAGGACAGGATTTGCCCACCCGCTCACCGCTCCCCGGCACCTGGAGAGCCTGGCGTGGGGTCGGCGCTCAGTGAGAGCGCGGGGGCGAGAGGAGCGGTCCCTGCCTTCCACGCACACCCGCAGTGAGTTTCCCGTGAGTCCCCTCTGCCCGGAGCTCGGCAGCCAGCTCCCAGGGTGCGGGCTGGAGCCCCCAGCCGCCCTCTCGTCCGCAGGTGACAGGCGAGGCCGGCCCCGGAGAAGCGGGGCTCACGACGGACCCGAGGCCTCATAGAGACGTCTGGCCAATCGCCAGGAAGCCCTTGGGAAAACCCCATCTGGCCTTGGGATCCACCTGCCACCCAGGGCGTGACTTCCACCAGGAAGGGCCCCTGGCTTCTGAGTCAGGCCGCGAGGCACAGGTGCTTGGGGGACCGCAGCCTCAGCGGGTGTGCGGAGGCTTCGGGAGGCTTGGCTGCCTCTGTCTCTCTCCTGCCCGTGTCTGTGCCTCCCTCCCTCTCTCCCTCCCTCTCTGTGTGTCCCTGCCATGTTCAGGGGGACGTACAGGGACAGAGCGCAGGGCCCCCGGCATGCTGTCACCGAGCCACACCCCAGCCGCAGGAGCAGGTCGCAGCAGGTTGGTCTTCCGGCCCCTCCACCGCGTTTCCATAAATAGCTACGCCACACTGCACATCTGTGTCCCACAAAGGCCTTCAAAGGTGTCGGCGGAGGCCTCTGTCACCCTGTTCCTGCCCTAGTTTTAATCAACAGAGGGCTCAGCGTGCCCCTCCCTGTCCCCCGCCCCCCATGGCGTCCCTGCCACCTCCCAGGAGGGCCCGGCAGGACCCTGGGGACCCTGCTGTCCCGAGCCATGTGTGCCCGGATGCTCTGAACACGCCGTCCCTCTGCCCACGTCTGGCCCCACAGGATGCAGGGCGGGCCAGGGCCGGACACTACCTGGCGGGCATTGGCAGAGGATGAGGAATCTGGCGCCCTGGGTTCAGAGCACTTCTCCCCACCCAGGGCCGTGCCCAGTCTCTGCAGATGGCTGTCCCCGTTCCTGTGCCCGCTCCTGGGCTGGCCGGGCCCTGGCTGGCCACGACAGCACCCCGTCCTGCATCTAGGCACTCACCACTCGGCCGGCGAGCCTCCTCAGAATGGAAGACGCCCGGGCAGCAGGCAGCTGGCGCAGCGCTGCGGTTATTGCCCGGCGGCTGCCGCCTCCCCGGCTCCCTACCCTCAGGGCCTGAGCACCTCGCTCTAAGGGGCTTCCTGGGGGTGGAGCCTTGAGGGGCCTCTCCCAGCACCCGTGGGTGAACGCGGGCACCAAGGCAGGTGGCCGAGGGCCCAGCCACCCTTCCAGCCCAGCACCTCTGTCTCGTCATCAGAATCAGCTGCCGAGGTGCCTGGCCAGGCCCAGGTGACCTCCGCCAGGGCGTCTCGCCCGTGTGCTCCCTGGAGGGGTCCACGAGGTCCAGGCTCTGCCCGCCCCGTGCCCAGCTCTGCTGTGGCTTCGGCAGGCTCAGGACAGCCCGGTGTCATAGTTGGGGTTTTACAAGGAGAAACGATGGCACACAGGACTATATTTTATAAGGTTATCTATAATAGTCACCCAAAGAATCACATACAAAGAGTGCAGGAGCTCTGTCCACACAATAAAGACCACAGGATCAGGCCAAGGGCCTGGATCCCACGACAATGTCCTGCATGAGTCCCGCTGAAGACCTAGAGCCCGTAACAACGCCTCCCACGCCCGGAACCACGCTGGATCAGTTCAGCTGGGTGTTCAAAGTTAACCACCAGTTGTCAGTCCACTATACCGGGGCAGTGGTGGGCGTTGTATCTGCATAGCTGACTCACACAACCCTCCACACCTCTGCCTGGAGGCTGGGGCCATGCGCCCCTGCACTAGATCTCCACCTCCCACCGGGGCGCCCTGAATCCCCACCCAGCTCCTCTGCGCTGAAGGTGCTGCTGCCTCCTGTCGCAATTCTTAAAAGCAGATGCGCCTGGAGGGATCAGCTGTTCACACTTGAGTATGAATTGCTCTCTTACACTTCTCAATTTTTTAGAGGTGGACAGAGAACTCGGTGATCACTTTTCCGAAGAGCATAACTTTTTTTTTTTCTTTCAGATTTGGGGGCAGAGCGGGAGCCACGGTGAGACTCTCCTGAAAACTGCCCGGGTGAGCACTACAGGCTGTGGCCGTGGCCCAGTTCCACCAGCGACCCCTGAAGAGCAGCCGCAGGCAGGACGCGAAATGACCAGCGTGACCGTCTTCCAGTCATCCTCCACCCGTGGGTGCCAGCGCCTGGACTGCCGGTCACTTTTTCTTTTTATTTCATTGGCACAATTTCAGATACGCACGGTGATCCCATTCGCAGGGGACGTGCCCCTGCACGAGAGATT